AAGCCAGGCTGGGTGCAGCTGAGTGGCCGGGCCGGTGGGGAGCGCCAGCGGCACTGGAGAGAGTGCCTGGACCACAGTGACCACCGGCTGGAGCTGTGGCACCCGCTGGACGGTCGTGCGCCCCTCCAGCTCAGCGACTAGCTGGGGCACCCGCGTGGCTCTGCTCACCGCTCCTCCCCAAACTGACCCAGACGCCTCCAGAGTTGGGAGGAACCAGGGCTGCCTCACCCACATGCCCAGCCCCTAGTCAAATTGTTTCCTTCCTCCTCCCCTTCCAGATGTGCCCAGTGCCCCATCAGGAAGCAGGAATAAACCTCTCCTCCAATCCAGACTAAACCAAGCCTATTCTTTCCTGGCCCATCACCTCACAGGGCAAACTGGACCCTGCTCTCCTTGTCCCCACCCTCAAGGGCCCAGGTGTGGACCTCAGGCCACAGCTTTGCCCTCCTCCCCACCGCTTCCTGCACTGAAGGCTGGGTGTTCAGGATGGTCTAGGACAGACTCGCTGACCCATAGGAGGCCAAGGTCTGGGCTCACGGCATGAGCTTGAGCTGGCCTATCCTTCCCAAGCCTCCCCACCTGGGAAACAGGCCCCATGAGTAATGGACCTCAGGTGCAGGGGGAGAGCAAGGCCACAGAGAAGCTGCAACAGGACAGTGGGCAGCACTTGCTTTATTGTCCCGCCGTCTGGATGATGGACACCAGCCCAGGGCAGCAGGCTCAGGTGGCGGCTTGCCTGACCTGGTGCTGCTGGGCAAACCGCTGCATCCGGTCCTCGAGCTCCGGCCGGAAGTGTCGGATCAGGCCCTGGGAAGGGGTGGGAGCACTGTGTGAACCAGGGTCTAAAAATCCCCAAGGCCCTGGGTTCTCAGCAGCCCCACACTAGTGCCACAGAGCAGGGCAGTGAGTACCTGCACGGGCCAGGCGGCCCCGTCGCCCAGGGCACAGATGGTGTGACCCTCTATCTGCTTGCTGATCTCCCACAGGGAGTCGATCTCAGCCGGCCGGGCGTCCCCCCTCACAAAGCGGGCCATCACCTTGTTCATCCAGTCCACGCCTGCAGCCACAGTAGGAAGAGACTGAGAGAGGCCACAGCAGGCCGGGCAGCATCTGTTTATTCAGGGTCCAGAGCCCACCCCACCTTTGACCTCTGCCCAACCCAGGCCAGGGTGAGCCACAGGGAAAGCCCCACGCTGCCCGGGCGCTCACCCTCTCGGCACGGGGTGCACTGGCCACAGCTCTCGTGCTTGTAGAACTCAATGAGGCGGGCGATGGCTTTCACTATGTCCGTCTGGAGACCAAGGACAGTGACAGGTCCCCAAGGCCTGAGCCTCAGTCCCCAGAAGCAGCCCCTTCCGACTCCCCCAGTGTCCTGCCACTCCCGCCCCGCCCTGGGCATCCTGCACTGCCCACTCTCCATGGCACCCTGCCTCAGAGCAGCCTTGCTCCCCCCTTGCCCACCTATATCTCAGGCTGCAGGGTGTGGGACGCAAGAGCTGGCAAGAGTTCTCAGAGAAGCCACAGGAGGGGTACCAAGCAGGCTGGCAGGAGGTGGGGACCGGGTGGGAAGCGGGGGCCAGCCCTTACCGAGCGATCCATGACGATCACCGCAGCCGTGCCCAGACCCGTCTGTGCCTGCACCAGCGCGTCGAAGTCCATCAACACCGTCTCACACACGGACTTGGGGATCAGTGGGGTGGACGAGCCGCCGGGGATCACAGCAAGGAGGTTGTCCCAGCCACCCGTGACACCCCCTGGGTCCCAGTCCCCAAAATGATGGGTGGTCAGGGCTGGGACCAGCAAACCTGCCTGGTCCTGAGCCCAGGACCTATCAACCCCCGCCCCAGCCCCAGGCCCTTCCAGCCCTGGCTCTCTCCACAGATGCCCAGCCCTGACCCTTGCCCCCTGGCCCCAGGCCTCACCCGCATGCTTTTCAATCAGTTCCTTCAATGGCACTGACATCTCCTCCTCCACGGTGCATGGGTGGTTGACGTGGCCAGAAATGTTGAACAGCTTGGTGCCCGAGTTACGCTCGCGGCCAAAGCCAGCGAACCAGGCACCCCCTCGGCGGCAGATGGTGGGGGACACAGACACTGTCTCCACGTTGGCCACAGTGGTGGGGCAGCCAAACACTCCTGCGAGGAAATGGGGCAAATTGGGGTGGGTTTCCTGGCAATGGGTCTGTCCCAGGGTCCTGTTCCCATGGCAGACAGCCCCCTTCTACTGCTTTATCATTCTCATCCCCACTGGACCCCAATGCCCAGCAGATCCTGCACTGCCTTGTTCACCCCCTGCCCTTTGCTCCCGGAGGCTGGAGGGGACTTGGGTGTCTGGCGTGGGGGCTGAGGCAGGTGGCACCGGTGGAGCCTCTATGTTGTTGCCACCGACTCTGCGTCTGGCCCCAGTGCAGAAGGAACTCAGAAATTCCCTAAGAAAGACCAGTGGGGACCCGAACCCAGATCCCGGATCCCGCAGGACCCAGGACAAGGCCCAAGATTGGGCCGGATCTTACCCACATCTGCGGGGAAGGGCGGCTTCAGGCGGGGCTTGCCCTGCTTGCCCTCGATGGACTCGATGAGCGCTGTCTCCTCCCCGCAGATATACGCCCCAGCCCCGCGCACCACGAACACGTCAAAATCGTAGCCGGAGCCACAGGCGTTCTTGCCAATCAGACCAGCCTCGTAAGCCTCTCGGATGGCCACCTGTGGGACAAGGGTGAGAGGGGAGGTCACTGTCCCCAAGGGCCTGGGGATACTGTGTGTATGCAGGGGGCAGAGGGGAGGGGAGAATACAGGCCCATCACCAAATCCAGGGCAAAAGCCCCCTTTTGGCAGGATTGGAGGACGCTCTGGGAGGGGGTGAGGACTTGTACAGTGTGCATGCCATTGGAACAACAACTTAAAAATTCTCCAACTACATCTTTTTTTAAAAGAACGATTTTAGAATCATGAAAAATTCAGCAAGTACTTTCTCTAGGTAGTGGGTCTGTGTGAGATTTTTCTCTTGTGTGTGTGGTTTCCTATCTTCATGATAAGTACTGCTTCTGCAATAGAGGGCAAGACCCTAGAGCAGTGGTCGGCAAACCGCGGCTCGCGAGCCACACACGGCTCTTTGGCCCCTTGAGCGTGGCTCTTCCACAAAATACCAACTTCTGCGCATGGGCCACGAAGTTTCAATCGCACTGTACGTGCGCGCCCGCATGTGGTATTTCGTGGAAGAGCCACACTCAAGGGGCCAAAGAGCCGCATGTGGCTTGTGAGCCGCGGTTTGCCGACCACGGTCCTAGAGGTTTAACTTTCAAGTACGTAATAACAATAAATTTTATACATGATGCTACTATGCGGGCCCTATACTACAGGCATCACCAGGCTAAGAATTACCTCTTTATCATTGACCCTTCAGCAGGAAATACGCCCTCTTATGAGTTCCCCAGCCCACCCACACCCTAGAAGTCATGGAGCCCTGGAAAACCTCCCACAAGTTGAGACTCTGGAGTATACTGGGAAGGCCCAGAGAAGGAGGCCTTTGGGAGCCATGTCCCAATCCTGACACATGCAGGAGTGACCAGCACTCTCCCAGCGGGACCCCACACAGATTAGGCGCTAAAATCTAAGCGTGACTATGCCAGGTAAGTGGGCGGTGAGTACACATGGAGCACGTCCTCTGTGATGTCCTTCCCCCAGCCCACCTGCAGATTGGAGGCCTCGTTGTAGAATTCCCCACGGATGTAGATGTAGGCTGCACGGGCACCCATGGCCCGGCCCCCCACTAGGCAGCCTTCCACCAGCTTGTGGGGGTCGTGACGCATGATCTCCCGGTCCTTGCAGGTGCCCGGCTCCCCCTCATCCGCGTTCACCACCAGATACTTGGGCCTGTGGGGGCCAGCAGGTCAGTTAGGCTACAGGGCCACCAGGGAGGGTCTTTCAACCCCCACTCTACCAGCCAAGCCTCAGAGATGCCTCCTCTGACAGCCAATCCCTCTCTGCCCTCCCAACATGTTCCCAGGCTTCTGCTTGCTCACCACCAATGACAGGAAGCTCACTGTCTAGCCCACCTTTGGGTGGCTGTGACCACAGGAAAGGTCTTGGTTCTGCTGTCCAAATGTCTCTCTTTGTGCTTTCCCAAGAGCCCAAATTCTGCTCTTGGTCACAAAGGGCTTTCTGAACCTCCACCATATCACTGAGGCCAGAAGGAAGTAAAGGAGCTGACATGTATCATTTGCTTTCTATGTGCTGACCAATGAGCAGGCCAAAAGCTATACAAACATTCTCTCTTTAATCCCCACAAAATATAATATCCATTTAAAGAAAAGAACACTGAGGTTCAAAAAGGCCAAGAGACTGCCCAAGCTTAACGATTAGATGGCAGAGGTAGGAATTGATCAATTAAGTCATTTGAGTCAAAATATTGTGCTGCCCTGACCAGGTGGCTCAGTTTGTTGGAGCACTGTCCTGTACACCAAAGGTTTTGGGTTCAATTCCTGGTCAGGGCACATACCTATATAGCAGGTTCGATCCCCCGTAGGGGTGTGCAAGGGAGACAACCGATTGATGTTTCTCTCTCACATCCATGTTGCTCTCCCTCCCTCCCTCCCTTCCTCTATCTCTAAAATGAGTAAGCATATCCTCAGGTGAGGATTTTTAAAAAAATCTTGTTCTGATTCTGCTACCCTTCGAGTCTCCCCTGAGCAACACCAGAGGGAACTGAGTTCCGCCTACTTAAGCTCCGGTAACATTTCCCCACTTTATTCACCCCAAGGTAACAACCCAAAGCCCTGGGTAAGCCAAAGCCACCGCAGGTTTCTCCTGCAACCCCATCTCCGCCACTAAACACACCTGCCATCTGAGGGCTTATTCATGAAGCTCCACTTGAGGCCAGTGGGGAAGCCAGCGCCTCCACGGCCCCGCAAGCCAGATGTCTTGATCTCACCCAGAATCCAGTCAGGCCCCTTCAGCAAGATCTCCTTGGTCTTGTACCAGTCACCTCGACTCTGGGCACCTTTCAGCCTGGACAGAGTAGGGAAGGTGGTGAAGGGGAGGCCGTGCCCTGCGGCCCACCAGGCTAAGGGCACCATCTCACCTCCAGTCATGGCGTCCATACAGGTTGGTGAAGATCCGGTCCTCATCCTTCAGGGAGCCAAATGATGTTTTCTTGGGCGCTGTCTGGAGACAAAGAGGGTCAGGAGGTCCAGCAGAGCTCTGGGGTCATGAGGGGCCAGGCCAGAAGCTACAGATTCTTAGGTCCCCCTGATGAGACGGGGCTGGGCTGGGGAGCGGGTAGGAGCCTAAGCCTTAGCACCCTGGTAGCATCAAAGCTACCACCACCGCCTAGGAACC